GGGATACAATGTGATAAGTGTAAGTACTGTATAAAAAATACTGTATTTTAGCTTTCATGTTTAATCAAGACATCTTCAGGTCCTGAGACTTACTAATCCCCCACCCAACAGTGGGTGACCTGACATTGTATCAGGTCATTAATATAAGACCACCAATACCTCTACCTGACATTGTGTCAGGTCAGGTCAGGTCAGTTACATGAGATCTACTAATCCCCCACAGCTCCAAGGGAGTGGAAAATACCAGTCTTTGCTCTAACACACAGCTTCATTCATGACCATATCATAGAGATTTTTAGTTTAGACTCTTGGAAAACTCCCCAGCAGACAGTAACATTGTGGATGTGGGCTAGTGTCTGTCTTCGCAAGATGCATAGTTAAGACACAAGGAAAATTTTTCCAGTAACCGGAAATATTTCCGGTGATGGGGGATTTTTCCGGGTTTGAGAAAGTCGTGAGGTTAGTCGGAAATCTCTCATTCCCAGAAGTGCTCTGCACCAATTGTTCCAGCTAACGGGGATATCACTGTACAAGTAATATCTCCGTTGGCCAGAATTCCTCAAACCCGGTACACTCCTATAGCAGGAATTGATATTTTCTCGGAGAATTCTGAGAAAATTTTCCCGATACCGGGAAAATTCTGGGGATGGGGCAAGTTTTTTTTTTCCGATTTTGAGAGATGAAAATTAGGTGCATTTCCAGAAATTCTGTGAAAAATTTTCCACTACCTGGAAAATTCTGGAAAATTTCGAGGATGAGGGATTTTTTTTTCCAGATTAGAGAGAGTTGTCTCGTTATCTGGAAATCTCTCATTCCTGGTAGTTGTCTGCACCAATTGTTCCAGCTAACGAAGATATCACAGGGAGGTACTACTGCCTAGGAAAAATAGAAGCGCAATGTGTTTAATGGTAGACCCTGCTGCCATATGGCATCACAAAATTTGTGACCAAGTAACAGGTTGCTCATCAGATTGATTTTTTGCCTCATTTACACACAATTGCAGTCTCAGTTGTTTCTCTTAATTTGACACCACAACATGCGAGTATGTACAGCTCCTCCCCGACTTACGACCTACTCGACTTATGACCACCCTGGACATACGACCGCTGCAGTTGTACCAAAATTTTGTCAAATTACATATGTTTTCGAGTCCCAACGTCAGTAATTGCGCTGTGTACTGACAAAATTTTTGTTTGTAATTCACTTTAAAATGGCTGGCAAGCTTAAAGGTGAGTGTTTTGTGGTGCTGAGAAAAAAAAGAGACACCCTTTTTAGATTTTCTATGTATTATTTAAGCATTTTTGACGTACGACCATTTCGACTTACAACCTGGATTTGGGTCCCTAACCCCGTCGTAAGTCGGGGAGGAGCTGTATTCTGCAGTGTATTGTTTATCAATCTTAATCTGTTTTATTTTTTCCATTTCTGTGTTTATTCATGGTTCAATTTATTTATTTATTATGTTGCCCCCTCCCCCCCTAGCCTTGTTGTGGGTTGGTAACCTGTGCCTGGGTGGGCTAATCTCCATTAAGAAAAGGAAAAGAAAAGAAGATTGGCGGTCATAATTGGCCACAACAAAGTGCGGACAAACTCAAATTTGCAAGAACACGTGTGTAAGCACAAATGGTGCACCAATTTCTGTACAATATACAGTCAACCCTCACTTTACGCGGTCCCACATTCCGCGTTTCCACGTTTACGTGGTGCCCTGCCAGAACCCAGGATGCTCACATTCCGCGGTGGGTGTACCCCTTTACACGGTGAAGTATAATTTTTTTTAATTTAGCTCATAAAATTCATACAAATTATCCGGCCAGAATATAATTTACATTGCTGGAATTCTTACAACTTGATGATCATTTTGAATATAAACATCATAGATTTTGCATTAGACATACAAATTTTAGATATAATGTTTACTCTTGAGTAAATATGTTATCTTTTGTGCAAAATATATGATATTTATATTCAAAATATTCCTGGTCTTACAAGGAATCCAGCAATGTCAATTATATTATCCTAACTTTAGTCTGATTTATTATTTATTACTAAAAAGGTAAACAGTCTGGTATTCCCACACATTTATCTAGTAGGGACGTTGGTGGGGGGTGGGGGGAGGGAGGGAGGGACCGGCGACCGACCATCTGTTACCGTGTGAAGAATATTTTTTTTTTATTAACTGAAGATTTTTATTTTAGCTCATAAAATTCATACAAATTACCCGGCCAGAATATAATTTACATTGCTGGAATTCTTACAATTTGGTGATCATTTTGAATATAAACATCATATATTTTGCATTAGACATAAAATTTTAGATAAAATGTTTAATCTGAGTAAGTATGTTATCTTTTGTGCAAAATATATGACATTTATATTCAAAATATTCCTGGTCTTACAAGGAATCCAGCAATGTCAATTATATTATCCTAACTTTAATCTGAGGTATTATTTAATACAAAATGTTAAAATCTAAATTTTTCACCCAACATCTCTTGAAGGGAGGATTGGTGGGGGGTGGGGGGGAGGGTTGGGACTGACCGCGCGGTTGGAAGAGGGGGAGGAGGCAAGGTGGGGTACTTTGATTGACAGATAGTGTCGTGAAGAATATTTTTTTTTTTATTAACTGAAGATATTTGTTTTAGCTCATAAAATTCATACAAATTACCCGGCCAGAATATAATTTACATTGCTGGAATTCTTACAATTTGGTGATCATTTTGAATATAAACATCATATATTTTGCATTAGACATAAAATTTTTAGATAAAATGTTTAATCTGAGTAAGTATGTTATCATTTGTGAAAAATATATGACATTTATATTCAAAATACAGTTTTACCCCGCCTAACGCGGTTTCACTTAACGCGTTTTCGCATATACGCGGTGCCTTGCCAAAGCTGAACTTTCACTTAACGCGGATTTTTTCCACATATACGCGGTGAGTGTCCGAGACGCTATTTTTAGATTTGCCCCACCCGCCACCCTGTCTGACTGCCTGTTTTAGCTCATAAAATTCATACAAATTACCAGGCCAGAATATAATTTACATTGCTGGAATTCTTATAATTTGGTGATCATTTTGAATATAAACATCATATATTTTGCTTTAAACTTACAATTTTTAGATAAAAATTTTTCTCTAGGTAACTATGGTATCTTTTGTGCAAAATATATGACATTTATATTCAAAATATTCCTGGTCTTACAAGGAATCCAGCAATGTCAATTATATTATCCTAACTTTAGTTTGAGGTATTATTTATTAAAATTTAGTGGTTATCCCACACATCTCCTTGGGACGGTTGGTGGGGGGTGGGGGGGAGGGAGGGACCAACCGACCATCTGTTACCCTGTGAAGAATTATTATTTTTTTTTATTAACTGAAGATATTTGTTTTAGCTCATAAAATTCATACAAATTACCCGGTCAGAATATAATTTACATTGCTGGAATTCTTATAATTTGGTGATCATTTTGAATATAAACATCATATATTTTGCTTTAAACTTACAATTTTTAGATAAAAATTTTTCTCTAGGTAACTATGGTATCTTTTGTCCAAAATATATGACATTTATATTCAAAATATTCCTGGTCTTACAAGGAATCCAGCAATGTCAATTATATTATCCTAACTTTAATCTGAGGTATTATTTAATACTAAATGTTAAAAACTCTGGAAGGGAGGATTGGTGGGGGGTGGGGGGGAGGGTTGGGACTGACCGCGCGGTTGGAAGAGGGGGGGAGGCAAGGTGGGGTACTTTGATTGACAGATAGTGTCGTGAAGATTATTTTTTTTTTTATTAACTGAAGATATTTGTTTTAGCTCATAAAATTCATACAAATTACCCGGTCAGAATATAATTTACATTGCTGGAATTCTTATAATTTGGTGATCATTTTGAATATAAACATCATATATTTTGCTTTAAACTTACAATTTTTAGATAAAAATTTTTCTCTAGGTAACTATGTTATCTTTTGTCCAAAATATATGACATTTATATTCAAAATATTCCTGGTCTTACAAGGAATCCAGCAATGTCAATTATATTTTCCTAACTTTAGTTTGAGGTTATCCCACACATCTCCTTGGGACGGTTGGTGGGGGGTGGGGGGGGGAGAGGGACCAGAGCCGGCTGTGTAGTGTGAGAGGGGGAGGGAGTTGAGTCCATTATTTGAATGGACATTAACTTGGCGACTGTATTTCTCTATTTCTCTTAAGTATTAATTGTGTGCATGTACCATCATAAAATTAAGATGTTATTTTTACTACAACATAGGTATGTGCCTTCAAAAAGTGGAGTTTGGGGGTCGGGCCGGTTTCTATTGGAATTAATCCCATATGTTCTGTTGTTCACTTAACGCGGATTTCACTTAACGCGGGACCCTCTGGGTTCAATTGACCGCGTTAAGTGGGGTACAACTGTATTCCTGGTCTTACAAGGAATCCAGCAATGTCAATTATATTATCCTAACTTTAGTTTGAGGTAGCCTATTATTTATTACTATACCTGGTTTTCCCCCCAAAATTTCTCAGAGAGGGAAGAGCCGGCAGTGTAGTGTGAGAGGGGGAGGGAGTCGTGTCCATTATTTGAATGGACATTAACTTGGCGACTGTATTTCTCTATTTCTCTTAAGTATTAATTGTGTGCATGTACCATCATAAAATTATGATGTTATTTTTACTACAACATAGTTATGTGTCGTCAAAAAGTGGAGTTTGGGGATCGGCCTGGACTCCATTTCAATTAATCCCATATGTTATGTTATTCACTTTACGCGTTTCTCGCTTTCCTCCGGGTTACATTAACCGCGTAAAGTGAGGGTTAACTGTATTGTACATGTAACTGCAATATAGGTAGTAAAGATTAGAAGGAACCAAATGGTATACACAACTCATTAAAATGTATTTCTGTATTATTGTATTGATATGTGGTGTTTTACATATGCAGATATTTATGTAAAATCATATTAAGGACTTAAACCATTGCAGGAAGGGATCATAAAGACATGACTATTCTGAGTAAGCTCTCAACAATATCCCAGTCCCGAGATGCAAGGCTATTTGGAGCTACTTCCACAGCAGCTTTCCTATATTGGATATATTGTGTATCTAGAGGAGGCAATCGTAATAGGTCAGTAGCATTATTCTATTGTAGCTATTTTGCTTGGGAAATACTGTACAGTTTTACAAATGTAGGTTTTTCTTGATTCTTAAGAAACCTTTACAACATAGTACTTTTTATTTGGATTCCCTGGTTATGCAGCTTAACCAAATGAATTAATTTTTCAATTTGCTAGCCTTTTACATTTCTAAAATTCTCATGTTTTTGTTTGATTTTTTGTTTTAGGAAAAATATATCATTGCTAAAGTTTCATTGGAAGTAAACAACAAAGTTTCTTATAGTGTAGTGTAATTTTAAGGCATATCTGATATTTTTAAAAATTTTCATTCAGTTATTACTTTTATAGTAAATAAAGCTGTGAACAAGACACAACAGGGTGGACTTTGTAGACGTACTGTAGTTGGCTTAATAAATAATGGACCATTCAGTCGGGTCTAATTACAGTATTAAGGGTTCTCCAGATCAGTCCCTTATTTTCATGATTTGGTACTTACTTCAGATATTAGAAGATAAAATTTTATTTTGTATTACTGTACATAATTTTTAAAGTTAGGTACGTAGTTCTTATTTATGGTAAATATTTACTTTTTATTAGATACTGTATATGAATGCTATTTTTTCTCTTTTATTGTTTCCTGCCAGTGATAATAATGTCTTTTCAGGAAGTTGGCAAAAGATGAAGTGAAATTTGTTGTTAATGACGCTGGCAGTTCTGGCGACAAAAGGAGAGCACAGGTTAGTAATTCCTAGTTGCCTTTGATTTTGTACTTAAATACAATACAAGGGATCCTCGATATACAAACACCCACAGAAATGAACTATGATCCGTAAGGTCAATTATTTAAAAATTCCCACATAAGTACAATGGTTCGTAGTAGTTTTATATATATATATATATATATATATATATATATATATATATATATATATATATATATATATATATATATATATATATAGTCTGTACTCACCCCTGAAGATGTGAATTACACGAAAGCGCTTGGGAACATCGTGTTTTCTTCTTTCCTTGTGGTTATCAGCATATACCTAGATCACGCGCACCTACAGTGATTTACTTGCGTATATATATATATATATATATATGTAACCGGTCGGAATTTGCTGGACTTTAATTTCTCACTTGACTTGGGGTTTATTAAAATTTAATAGATGGTAAAGGCAGTGGAAGCGCCCCTTTGAGAAAAATCCCGAACCAGCACAAGAACACTTAAATCTACTACACAAAATGAACTGTCCGTGACCCGTGGAAGGATAGCGTCTGTGACTGGGATGAATGAGACACACTGTAAAATTTAGACACTTATATTCCCTCCAACACTACAAACACAATCAAATAATGGTACACCAATATGCGCACCTCTTAACTTAAAATTTAACCACTACTCTGGGGAATAAAAGTTATACATGACATAGAAATTATTAGAAACACAGGCAACAATAAATTTGAAGTATCAAGAAATGTTGCTCGCCCACATGAACAGGCCTTAAGGCTTTCACAAAATAATATCAGTCACTTAGGAAATGGTACTAAAAAATAAGAAATTAAATACTCCACAATGAACAGGCCTTAAGGGTTTTCAACAAAATAATATCAGTCACTGAGGAATGGTAATAAAATATAAGAAATTAAATACTCTACAATGAATAGGCCTTAAGGGCTTTCAGCAAAATAATATCAGTCACTGAGGAAATGGTAATAAAATTTAAGAAATTAAATACTCTACAATGAATAGGCCTTAAGGGCACTCAACAAAATTATAGCACCCCAACAGATGTACACTTCCTAACCTAACCTAACCACTACTCTGGGGAACAAGGTTATACCTGAGATCAGAATTATGAAGAACAATTAGAGGCATTAAAAGAATCAAATCACAGTATCACTCTGGTTCCACTTAATGGCACAAACATTCAAACAATATTATCAAAATTATTTAGAAACTATTAAACTACACACGTCAAGATAATATCAGTCTGAGGAATGGTGTTAACTACACCCGTAATAAGGGAGGGAAAATGTTCCTCTAGGTATCTCCGAGAGACCTAGACTCACGGTCTCAGTGTGTGACCATTAGTTCACTCAGATAGCCTCAGTGTACTCCCAGTGCGTCCATGGGCAGGAAGGGAGTGAGCCAATCAGACCTTGTACAGTTGAGAGAAACTTTAGCTTCCCGTTAGCAAGAGGGTTTCACTAGCTGCTCGGGACATGTGGGGTTGTGCACCGGAGTGGTAAGAACTGATCACCCACTGCTGATGCTGGTCCCGTGTCGTGTTAGTTAGTTGTCGGGAGCACTCGTTCACTCAAGAGATCCTTTGCTACCCCGCTAAACAGTGACAGGCCTACACTGATCGGTCCAATGGCGACAATCGCCACCCTCAATCATCAACGGCAGTCAATCTCTCGCAGTCAACTCCGGTCAACTCCAGTCAACTCCAATCAACTCCAATCAAGTGGGTTCTGACGGAAACCCTGAAATGAACTCACTGTTAGCTCTAGTTTACTTTATCACTGCCCTATCTAACCCTGTCTGAGATCGAATGAGACTTACTTGTTATACTGCAATAGTGCAGCACAGGTGACTAGGCCACGTGACTATTTCTGATGGACGCGCGGAACGTCTTGTCTGTGTGAATGCTCTCCGGGACTGGCCTAGCCAACGTCGCGTCTCCCCAAGGCGCTAGCTTGGGCCTACGTGATATATTTTCCGCCTAGCTAATAACTCCTTGGGACACCAGTAACATTATTCAGACTGCTAAACGATCTATAATAATTTCAAATTCAATAATAGTCCCTTAACTTCATGAATCGCATCATTATTAATTCGGTAAATTACATTTAATATCATATAGGCCTAGTTCCGCAATCTCTCGCTACGAGCAGGCAACGCTCCCTCCCCTCAGATGACCTTGAACGCTCAGTATCACTCATGGCGGGGCATTTGAAATTACTCTGAAATTTCTGAATATTACAATCGACCCCCCTAAAAAAAGACAGCACTGTCCTCATGTGCTGAGAAAACATGCATACGACCCCCCTAAAATTTTGTTCTAAGGACTGCACCTCACCCTTTTTGCTAAATGCAGCATTCCCGTCTTCTCTTCTCTCCTTTTCTCTCCCGCTAACACTCGACCCCCCTAAAAAAAGACAGCACTGCCCTCATGTGCTGAGAGAACAAC